ATGTCACTAGGCCTTACCTAGCTCACCTCGTCGAACCTTGTTTTCCTGATCTGCCCAATAATCAGTGGCTTGCCGTCGTCCATCTTCCCCTCCTCTACGCCACTAGCTCTTCTTGAAAGCATCTGGCGTCACACACCTAATGATAGCGGTCTCGATATCATATAATCTCCCAAGATCTCTGGCCAAGGCGGACACAATTCCTCTCCTCAAGCTGGGCTTCAGATGATGGGCAGGAGGAAGAGCGTATTGAAGAAACAAGCGGTATAACCGTCAAGGTAAGCCCTATCACCTAGGGTGTGGTTTTTTTATTAATATGAATGCCTTATTGACTTGTTTATCTCAGTCGCAGTGTCTCACAATGTCATCGGGTCGTTCTAATGGCATCCTTGCTGCGTCGATTGTTATCCTCTCTGTGGCTACAGTATCCGTGACAACGAGGATAACCATTCGATATCGCTGCAATGGGTTGGGCTTGGACGACTGTATGTCTTCTCCCGTTGCCGCGTCCTATACTGCTGACTGACTGTTGGCAGATCTAATCGCACTGAGTTGTGTACGTCTTCAGTCAATGGTAATCCCTTTTTACGGATTAACCACTAACAGATAATGGCAGCTCTTTCTGGCAGCATGCTGTGTCTTGACGATTATCTGTAAGTCGGCCTTCTACACTGCTCAATGCCTGCTAACAGGTGTAGTGAGTCGAAATGCTTTCGGACGGCACGCATGGGATGTCAGCGATGACAAGCTGTCACAATTCCTTCGAGTACGTTTCCTCACGCCACCTCGCTCCACACCGTCCTTACAGTGCAACAGTACATAGTTGCGGCGTCCGCAACGTACAGCTGCGGTATAGCCTTGGCGAAGGCGTCCTTTGCTGTACTGTACATGAAAGTCCAGCCGAAGCCATGGCTGGTCCTTGCCAACAAACTGGTGGTCGTCTTTGTGACATGCCAGGCCATTGAGGAGGTCTTCATCGTCGTTTTCCGCTGCAACCCCATCTCCGCTGCCTACAAGCCAGGGGTTCACGGCCATTGTCTCGATTTGAAGGTCCTATGGTGGACAGCGGTATGGCTGACTACACGTTCAGCATAATCGAGTGGCGTGTTACTGACTCTTGGTAGTTTGCCTTTAACCTCTGCACCGGCCTCTTCCTCTTCATACAACCCATACCGCTTATCATGAAACTTCGACTCCCTCTGGTGAGACGAATCGGACTTGCTGTAATGATGTCGCTGGGTGTCCTGTAAGTTACCTTGGGGGAATACGCTGTGGATGAGCTGACGGCCCCCTCAGAGTTCTCGCCATATCCGTTATTCGTATTATATATGCCATCCAGGTTGACGACGACAGCTCTTGTAAGTCCTCATCTTCAGCTGGTTGCCATGATACTGATGGTGCAAGACTCGCTCGTAAACCCAGTCATATGGTCTCAAGTTGAGATCCTCGCCCTCATCGTTTGTTCCAGCATGCCATCTTTCCACCAATTCTTCCATGTGATGATGTCCAGGGGTCACTCGACTGGCCCGCCCTCAACATACGATAAGTCGGTTGCAGTACAGAGCCAGCGCAGCGACGCGCCGATTGCCACGACGCTCGGTCTCACGCCAGACTTTTCGATGCAGCGATCAAAGAATTATGGATTCTCACGGACGCATTTTGGAACGAGCAGCAGGGTTACCGTTGGCGAATTGTTGCATGACGGCCGCAGCAGCACGGAGCGTATCATTCCTCCGCCAGCGGTGCAGAGCGGCGGTGCCATCATGGTTACTACCTCAGTGTCCCGTGAAACTGAGCCCAATGAAGAGGGGATCCCGGCTGCTCTGGCCGAGTCTAGAGCAACCGAAAGGTATCTAAAGCTCCAGCCCTAGGCGGCATAGCATGGAGAATCATGCGACGATTTGGCTTCAAGAGCAAACAATATATGGTGTTCCATCTCTGTCTAAACAGCTCCGCGGTCCTTTCAGTCGAGTGTATTATTGTCTTTTAACTATGACAGCGTCAGGTTCCTTTGGTCTTTGGAACAATATTGTTTAATATCCTTAGAAATGGTCAGAATAGCAAATCGCTTGCCTGTGTATTTACTTGTAATCTGCTTCATAATTACAGCAAGACTTCCAATACAGACTCGTTTCAGCCACCGGTGCAGCAACCACCTCCTTCTCCTTCTTGTATCGCGCTTGGGGACAGAGACCTCGCCCAGGTCTTGGGTATTATCTGGAGAAGGCAAGTGCAATCTTCTATGTTCCCCCAGCTGTCATTAAGCCGCCGTCATTGTTCTTTGCTTCAAGCACCATTCTGCTTCTCGACACTCCATTCGCCTACTACTCCAACCTTCTAGCTCCCATCAATATATATATCTAAATCTTGGATTTCCACCATTCTAATGACATCTCGCCCTACGTTTGATCGCTCCTTTCCGATCTTCTTCTGCGAAGCCCTTTGACTCCCCTCGCCGTCATGGATGGCCGTTACGAAGAACATTCACGTCGCGATCCACTACCTGCCGGTCTTTCCAGCCCTCACGCTCGGTCAGAAATTCTTCCTCAGTCAACAGACAAAGACGAGTACGCCATCAGGCAGTTGAGCGTGAGCTTTGAACCGACGAAACCAGCAAAGTCCCCATCGAGCAGTCAGGGGTCGACGCAGCACTTCGAAGACGCATCGAGTGTGATCAACGATACGCGACTTCCCAGCGTCTCTGCGCTCTCGGAGAAGAAACTTTGTGATGCTGGTCTCGACGCGCCCTCACAAGGGCTCTATAGGCCCGAAGGACAGCCAAAACACTCGCCGGTTCTCGACTGGAGCTTGCAGGTAGCCATGGATCTCGAGCCAGACCCAAAAGAACCGGACAGCAATCATCTATATATGTTCAATCCCGATAAGGCTTTTAGTACTAGTTCTTGCTGCAAGCCAGCTCCGATTTCCGACATGAGGTCGCCTCGCCTCCCCAGCATTCTGTCTCTGATGCGCTCTCAAGGTGACTCCAAGGCGGCTACTGCGGGAAGCTTCACCTCACAAGCTTCGCATTCTGATATTCACCGATTCTCTGAAGCATGTTCAGCAGAGGCTAGAGCTATTAGTCATGCCAATTCCTACATCTTCGATCCGACCTTGGGCTGTTCGGCGCAGTATCTCTACCAGCCTTTAGACAACACCCATGGCTTGCTACAAGCAGACGTTGTTCCAGTTCAGCTCGTGACGCCAAGTCGTGGCCCGGCCGTATACTTGATCGGCGTATCGCAACACGATCCTATGTTGCATCGTCATGGCATGCAGACACCTATAAGCAGCTCTTCGGAACAAGATAAGCGATCGGATGCTACCAACGGGCTGGAACATGCTCCTCCAATCCCTGTCATCAACGGTCAGAGAACACATGGCAGTCTTCGCTCACCTATCACAAATGAAGGCCTATTAGATGGCGTTGTCCGGAGAGCATGCAACCGTTTTGAGAGTCGACGTCTTTCCACCAAGGACTTTCCGAATCCGGAAGACATTCACTCGCCGATTGTTACGTCCAAGGCGGTCTATCTTATTAGCGACGACGATATTGAGCAAATGGTCATTTCAATGCTGTCAGACCTACGCGAGCTCGACCCCGGTCACCCATCTACGTCGCCCGATGGAGATGGAGGGACATGCCCGCATCCTCTACTTCCTGTAGTCAATGGAGCTCCCAACGCCATTCTACCCTGCGCAGCCAAGATGGCGGACACAGCAACTACTATCAGCAATCCGAAGACGTCATTCGCCAGCGTTAGCCCAATAGATATGCAAGTCCATACGAAGTTTCGGGGAGGACCCCTTTCTACAACCACCGTTGTGTCTCGCCGGAGTGTTGCTAAGATTACCTGGGCGGAGAATCACACCATCAATCCATATGCACATACGCATTCACTACCTGGAGTCTATGGCACAGAAGCTTACTTGACTGGATTCTCGGTACACCACCGCACGACTGCCGAGAATCTCGAGTCGCTTGTTGCAGATATCAGTCGCGCGCAGAACAGAGTTCATTGGGCGCAGAGTGACTCGACAATCACCAGTTTCCCTGCATTCCATACTCGACGATATACCAGCGCCTGGTTGAATCCACCCATGCCAACGGAAGCGTCATCTCATCATTCGGCTCACAGCTTGTACAAGCACGATGTGGACGCCCACAGTGGCAACGTCTCCCGGTCAGCTGCCACGTACTCTGATGAGCCTTTGAAGCCTCGACAGTACAACGATTCACTGTTCAATAGTGACAGATTGTTTGATGAGAGGGGCCATAGCAGAAATCCAACTCATGGTCTTTCTGCATCACACAAGGCAGAGCAACGTCTTGGCGCATCTCTCGGGACAGCCTCACATCGTCGTCGAAGTGTCCAGGTACAAGACAGGAAGCCTAGCGACGAACCGCAGAACAGTATTGTCCCAGAGATCATGGAAAAGATACGAAGGAGAAGTCAGCGTTTCCTGCGTCACTACACTTTACCTCAACGCACGGAGGACTCTGTTCTGCCGCTCGATTCTCCAGAAGTTACGGATGCTCCAGATCCTCTTCTGACTCCTGGCGGTGAGGATACATCCATCACCAGCCTGAGGTCGAGAGACAGCCTAGTGAGAGAACGTACTCTGGAGCCCCCTAGAATCGACAGGGCAGGCATCTATGAGGCCATGACGGGAAGTAGACTGATATCCGGCCGACTGAGAAAGAATACGTGCTCGGAGGACAATGCACCACACGAATGTGCAGATGACATGAGTATGGCCGACAGTTTCTTGTCTTGATCGGCAGACGTATTGGTTTCCGCAGTTCCTAGGCAGCATCAAACTTCAGTTGTAACCCTAGAATTTTCAACAATAGACTAAAAGAGGTTCATTTAGCGGTGAGGTTCCCCAAGTCCATCCAACAAATGAACCCAAGTGTTGCCTACCAATCGTCCACCTCCGAAGAAAGCAAAGTGACAGCACCCAGATGCAAAAAGATATCCGCGAGAAACGGCAAAAAAACCTGGACGAACGGAGAATCGAACTCCGGACCTTCAGCAGACGCACGTCAGGTTAATGCGAAGCCGACGTCATACCACTAGACCACACGCCCCATAGAGGAGGATTGTCCGTAATCGGACATGCTGGGAAGGTTCATAGACCAGTACATGAAGGATACATGAGCATCATGCATCAGAAATCATGTCTGCCTTCTCATGCCAGGCCGGCTCAGTCATTTTGTGTGGACGAATGTCAAATATTTGGGGAGGTACACATGAATTAATTCAGTTATAACACTTTCTATTTTGCATGCCGGGGTTGTTTTGCTACACCGCCTTGGACGCCCGGGCTTTGTTGTCGCGGTGTCTCTTCTCCTTGGCCGCCGTCTTGCGTCGCTGCATCCACGAGCGGTTCAGGTCCCTCCTGTTCTCCCAGAACCACTTCTGGAAGTCACTGGAGCCAGCCTGGTCCTGCGGCGGCTCGGCGTCATTGTCGTCCTCCTCGTTCTCCTCGCCCATCTCCTCGGCGTCCGCCTCTACGCTGGCTGTGATGCCGTGCGCCGCGGCGCCATCGTCCTCATCTTCCTCGTCCTCCTCTGGGAGGCTGTCGCCCTGGGAAGCCCAGAAGTTGTGGACGCGCGTGGGGTGAGCTGTGTCGGGCGTTGGGGCCGCGCTACGGACGTTGCGCCACTCAAACTCTTGCCGGGAGTAGGGCGTCATGGGCATCGAGATGGTCATCTGGCTGGGGCCTTCCTCTCCGTTGTCGTTGTCGCCACCGAAGAAGCTAAAGCCCTTTGATTCCTGGCCCGGCGTCTGGGCCCCGTTGCCGTCGGGCTTGGCGCGCTTGTAGAGAGCCTCGAGAGGGTGTACTTTGACAGCGGAGGGCGTCACTGGGGGGATTTTGATGGTGAGGCTCCTGGATGAGCTGGAAGATATGGGCCGTGTGTCTGTGCGCGCTGCAGAAGTTGGTGTCGGGAGTGGTTCTGGCTCCTTTGGAGCAACCTGCTCCTCCTCTTCCTTCTCCTTCATAGCAACGTCTTCCTCTTCCGCGACCTCATCTGAGTCTGAGTCCGAATCGGAATCTTCTGATGAGGAATCGCTGCTGCTGCTAGAGCTATCAGAGTCCTCTTCTTTTTCTTCTGCGACAGCCTTTGCCTTGGCCGGAGAAGGTTTCCTTGGCCCGGGAGCTGGTCGGCTCTTCTTCGTGACGGCTTCTACGACGTTTCCATCCTCGTCGACCCAGCCTGTGCCTTCTACAAACTCGACGGCAGGCTTCTTGTCGGTTGACGGCGCAGAGTTCTTCAGGAAACTCGGGAACTTGGTCGTCTTCTCAAACTCGTGAACCGTGACCTCGCGCGATTTGCCTTCCTTCCTCCTTTTCTTAGTCCCATCGTCCTCGGGGGGCGGCGCAGTAGCATTCCGTGGTAGCCGCGTCTTCAGTAGGCATTCTTCCTGGTCGGTGTATTTTGACTTGGTGCGCTTTCTCTTCTCCTTTTCCTTTTCCTTGGGCTCCTCGTCTTTCTTGCTTTTCCTCTTCTTTCGCTGCTCCTGGGGCTCTGTCCAGCCGCGCTTGACCTTGCGACCGTTGAGCACGACACCTTCTAGGACCTCTGCGTCGCGCTTGCGCTTCTTCGAGGTCTCGGCATCCTCGCTTGATTTCTTCTTTTTCTTCTTCGGCTGCTCTGACGCCTCGGGCTCGCCCGAGGGTTGGTGGATCTCCTGGGCCCGAGCCTTCTCGATTCTGACCTTGGTGCCCTTCAGGACGGTGCCGTTGAGCTTCTTCTTGATCTTCTCGGCATCCATGAGGGGCAGGTCGACGTAGCCGTAGCGCCTCTCCGGGAACGTGGCAATTGTATGGAAGGAGATGTTCTGGGCGCGCGGCAGGATGGATGCTGGGACGATAATCTTGAGAAGATCAGGATCCAGCGGTGTAATGTGCAGCCGAGTGAAGCCGTCGCTTCCTTCAGTGCCGTCGGCAGGGTTCGTGGGGGGCACGGCAACGCTGCCAGAGGTCATGTCTGAGAAGTCACGGCCACTGCGGGTGGTGGGCTTCGTGAGGGTCGGTTGCGCCTCTCGCCTTGGGTTGATTGAGAATTCAGAAAATAGAAAACAAAAAGTACACTCAGGGAAGCTAGAGGCGGCTATCCGTGGAGATACGAGAAGTACCCTGATTGGTGGAGGCCCTTCGCGTACTGCCTACCCTATACCTTTGGCATGGTCGATGAATGTGATCGATGTATGATTCGGGTTTGAGGATGCATGCCACTGTCCCCTGTAGGTTTGCGTCTTGCTGTGATTTTCTGGGCGGATCTTCGATTTCGAGGTCGTGACTTGTGTGTTTAGGTCATACTGTTTATATCTCCAGCTGGTCAAGACGCTTACGTCTCACCCACCCTCTCTGTCTCAATCCGACCACGAAACCCGGGATTCGATACAGGCACGACCTAATCGGTATGTGATGGAATTGTCAGATACGAGACAAGATTTTGATTAAGTATCATACAATATACCGCCCGGAGAGAACCCAGTCCGGGCGTATGTACACCACTAGTGGACGAAGCCAGACCTACGGCCTGACTGCTACATCCGTACAAACTCATTCAATCATTACAATAGTGTTACATGCATTTCGGCAAAGAGGAGATGTGAACCAGACCAATCAGCCACACACAGAGCTGTCCGCTCTAAGAGGACCTGGGTTTGGGTTGCAGATCACCGCCAGTGGCCCTCCACCACAAATCAGTACCCCATCGAATCATTCGCTCGGCGGAACCCGTAGGGGTGGCAGCAGGGCGGACATCGAGAATGAAGACCGGCTCACCCGAGGGCTCGGGCTCTCCCGAGTAGTAGTCGATGACATAACGGACCTCCTTCTTCTCGCCATTCACATCGCGGGAGACGTACCAGTCGTGACGGTCAAAGGGAGGCTCGATGCTGTCAGATGTTAGCGTATAATTCATACGGCAAAGATCGTTGGCTTCGTCACTTACCCAAACTTGGACGGATACACCCAGCCGAGGACCTGGAGCATGGTTGCCCTAGGCGTCATATCCTTGGGTCGCCCCTGGAAGCGGATCAAGGTGGGCGCCTTGGACTCTCCATCCCAGTGCTTCTCCAGTTCCTCCTCGACATGCTCCTCGCCTCGCCTGCAGACCTGGAAACCCTTCCAAAGACCACGGGAGAAGCGCTCCTCCCATCCGACAATCTCGGCCCACGCGCCCTCGTTCAGGTAGTTGTGAACCGAGACCATGGACTCGACGGCGGTAATGTCGGTGTCCGTGTAACCCTTGCGCAGCATTGCGTTGTACATCTGCTGTGGCGAGGGGTACTCCCAGTTTCCATCGCCGCTGCCCTTGGGGATCGTGGAAGGCTCTCGGTCAGTCGGCAGAGCATACGTCTGGTTGGGCGCAGGCTTCTGAGAAAGATCGGGAAACATGTAGTTGAGAGGGTTCAGCTGGGACAAGAGAGACGGCTGGGGCTTCGACTCGGCCTCGCCACGGGCGGCATGCGGGACTGGGCAGCCCGAGGCAGCAGGGACATCTGCAGCAGCCTGAGCCTTCGGCGTCGTGCTCAAGGCTTCGGCCGTCTTCTTATGCATGGGGCATCCGGCCTAGAGTCAGTTAGATTGCTGTTGCGGGGAAGAAAGAATAGGAGCGCAGCCATACCGGAGGCTCACCACTGGAAGCGACGGGAGGATGGCCAGCGGGCATCTGCGGTGCGCCAGGAGTGGCATCGGCCCAGAACCAACCCATTTTGATGTGGAGGTATTAAAAAGTGATATTGTTTAGTACAGAGGAAGAGAAGAGGACGATGTCGAGGACGACGGCAGGGAAGATTTCTCAAGGAAAAGGATCGATAAGGAAGGGTAGATGGATGAGGTAGAGAAATTTTGGCCCTCTCAAAGACAATCAGGCGCAAGGATCAAGGCTCGGCCAGGAATCAAGGTGGAGGTACTCTGTACTTGCCCGCCGGCTGGCGGACATGGGATGAACAAGGTCCTGCAATACCTGCGTCGACATTGGTGCATTTTTACCCGGGAGAACCCGCTAACAAAAGCATGCCACCATCCCTTTCCAGGCACTAAAACCAACCCCGGCGTCTTTGCTCAGCATGTGCTTCCCATAATAAACGACGACGTCACTAAACGGATATTGGCGACAATTTCGTAATGGATCTTGAGGCCTTTCGGGTTTCGGCCAGCTCTCGATAAAGCCTCCCCACCGTCTACTCTCATTCTGATCGGTGGAGCATGTGCAAGAGCTTCATGCCATGCTCTAGACCAGCCTCTGCCGAGCCACGCCGACCATGAGAACCCTTTGCACAGGCGTCTTCGGGAGGGTCACCGTCCGCGCCATCCTCCGGCCGCATCTCCCCCCCTCTCCTGCTTACCGCCGAGTCGCGCTCCGAACTCACCACACGAAGACGATACAATACCGATGGCAAAGTACGGGCCGGAGCAGATTTACGCTGCGCGCGTCTGCCGGTGCTGCTACGGCGCTGGGGACGGCGGCCTTTGTCCAGATTTCCGAGGAGGATAATAGCCATGGGAACAAAACGGGTGAGGACCGCATGCTGGAGCTGTCGAGGGACGAGATCAAGAAGAAGGTGCCTGAAGACGACAGAGGCGTCTCTAGGGTCTTTCACTCGCTGCTGCTCTTCTTGGATAAGTACTTCTGGGAGCCTATATGTACGGGCGCTCGGTTCTTGAACCTGGTCTTCATCTTTGTACCCGTCATCATTACCGTGCCCGCTATCTGGGTAGGCCGCCGGCAGCCCGGACGCGACAACCAAAGGAGTGGCACGCTGTGGTGGTTCGGATTCCTGGTCCAATCTATGGAATGGGCAGGCCCGGCCTTTATCAAGCTAGGCCAGTGGGCAGCATCTCGATCCGACATCTTCCCTACCGAGATGTGCGAGATCATGTCCAAGTTGCACTCCAACGCCCCGGCGCACTCCATGGCCGTCACACGGACCACGGTGGAAGACGCCTTTGGCGGGCGCCCCTTTGGGGAAATCTTCGAAGAGTTTGACGAGACGCCACTGGGCGTCGGGGCAATCGCCCAGGTCTACAAGGCCAAACTGAAGCCCGACTTTGTGGCGCCACCCGACACCG